TGGATCAAGTGCAAGAAGGATCAAGGCAGGATCTCAGTGTTGATGAACAAGGAAGAATCAGGAGCAAGGGGCATTTATGGATACCAAAAGAAGCAGAATTGATTCAAGATATTTTATTTGAGGCACATAATACTAGTTATTCAATTCACCTTGGAAGCACAAAAATGTATAAGGATTTGAAGAATTTGTTTTGGTGGCCAGGAATGAAAAGAGATGTGGCAGAGTATGTGGCTAAATGTGAAAAATGTCAAGTTGTTAAAGCTGAGCATCAGAAACCAAGTGGAATGTTGTAATCTTTACCAATTCCTGAGTGAAAGTGGGAAGAAATAGCCATGGATTTTGTTACAGGATTTCCTAGGTCAAGGCATGGACATGATAGTATTTGGGTGGTAGTTGACAGACTCACTAAGTCAGCTCATTTTCTACCTATTCATCAAACTGACTCAGTGGAGAAATTGGCTAAGTTATTTGTGAAGGAAATCATTAGATTATATGGAATTCCTAAGGCTATTGTATCAGATAGAGAAGGGCGTTTTACATCTAAGTTATGGAAGAGTGCACATGCACGTTTGGGCACCAAGTTGAAATTTAGTACTGCTTTTCATCCACAGACAGATGGCCAATCAGAAAGACTGATTCAGGTGTTGGAAGATTTGTTAAGATTGTGTATTCTGGATTTTGGAGGTAGCTGGGAAGATCATGTTCCATTGATTGAATTCACTTATAATAATAGCTACCAATCCAGTATAAAGATGGCTCCATATGAAGCTTTATATGGCAGAAAATGCAGAACTCCTTTGAGTTGGTTTGAGGCTGGTGAAAGACAATTGTTGGGTCCACAGTTAGTGGATCAAGCTACTGAAAAAGTAAGATTGATCAAGGATAGATTAAAAGCAGCTCAAGATCGTCAGCAGAAATATTATGATTCCAAGCATAAAATGACAGAATTTGAAGTGGGGGATTTTGTGTTTTTGAAGGTGAGACCAATGAAAGGTGTTTCTAGATTTGGTCAGGGTAGCAAACTAAGTCCCAGATACATTGGCCCATTCGAGATTATTGAAAGAATAGGATCAGTTGCTTACAAGCTGGCATTACCTAGAGACATGTCTGATGTTCACAATGTATTCCATATATCAATGCTCAGAAAATGGGTTACAGAAGACGGTCAAAGGGTTCCTCAGAAAGATATTGAACTTCAGAAAGACTTAACTTATATTGAAGAGCCGGAGATGATTATTGGAAGAGATGTTAGGAAATTGAGAAATAGAGTGATTCCCTTTTTGAAAGTAAAATGGTTGCACAGTTCAGAAAAAAATGATACATGGGAGAAAGAGATTGAAATGAGACAGAAGTTTCCTCATTTATTTGGAGATGTGTGAAAAGTAAATTTCGTGGACGAAATTCTATTAAGGAAGAATTGTAATTCCCAGAAAAAAATACAGGTAATAGTTAATTTAAATAATTTTAGAAACGATATAACTATTGTATTAATTATGTTAATTATTCCTTAAATTCCAAAAGACGTTTTCTATGGCTGTCTTTAGGAGGCGGTTGCCTGGTGGGGCCACGCTATCCTTATCTAAATGGGATTACACGCAAGCAACAAATCAATTCATTCTTTGTTTTGTTCACGGAAGCATCAGACGGAACTTGTAAGTTTCGGTTCCAAGCAATAAGCACAGTGTTCCTTCACTGTTATTGGGTTCGGATAGTGAAGCATTGGCTACCGTAAAAACAGGAATAACAATTCCTGCATTCGGCTGAGTGTGGGATTGGAAAGAAAACTGCAGTTTTATATCAAATATCAGTTGAAGAGTTGTAGGGAAATTCTGTGATAACTGCAAGTAAGTAATGATCAGATTTTCTATGAATTCTAGTGTTGTGAGTATACAAAGTAGTTGAAAGATTTATGAATTAGGGTGGTATCTTGGAGAAGAGGGAAAGAAAGAAAGAAGAAGGTTAAAAGATAAGTTAGGTAATTATTCTTGGTATATTTTCATTGTCTTTTATATTCCTAAAAAAAATAATGAAATGATAAAAGTTCTAATATTGTACACTTATAAGGTTAGGATTCATCAAATATATTCATGCGAAGAGAAACTTTTGAGGTGACTTATAATAGAAAAAGAGTAAGAAGGGAATGTGTGGAAGAATCAAATCGTCAAGAAGGTAAGTAATGCTAAATTAATGTGTAAAGAAATTTATGTATTATGATTAATTTATTTTCTTTGTTGGAATGTTTTATCCAAGCTTTTGAATATGATCTATTGTTACCTTTGTTATATCAGGAAAACTGATATGTTTTATCCAAGCTCACTTCACTCATGGTGATGTCGCGGCACGGCATGCTCGAGCTACAAGCCAGTTTGATTGCCACATCATTGACTGAGCTTCCTTGCAAACCCAAATAAGATACCTCGCTTATCGCCACGTTTCCCGTCTTTGATCATCACCATCAAATTCAAATGAACAAAAAGTTTCATTGTTAGAGGCCGATTATTGATTAATTAGTATAAGGATATAAAGGCTTCGTTATGACGATTTTTTTTCGCTACTTAAAGCAGCTTTCTAGTTAAAAAATTTAAAATTTTGTACTATAAAGCTTCTTTAAGAATCATTAAGAAAGTCGTTACAAATGAAGCCAAAGTTAGTTGTATAGTGCTCACCTTATTTGGACAGTTTAGTTCGGGGAATAGTACTGATCGATGACTATGACACCTGCTTTAACTGAAGTGAAGTTGATGTTCTCATAGGAGATAAACTTGGCATGACCAGCCCCACCCTATCAAATGCACAATTACAGGAAATTAGCATTAACTATGCATTAGTTTAAGAGAGAACTATTATTTGGTTCTGACCGACGATACTGGATTAGCATATTATTAGGTGATCATCACAGGAAAACCGTCAATTATAGGCAACCTGTTCCGACATTTGAGGTAAGTTTTATGGCGGTTTTATGGTGTTTCACAAACCGCCGGAATAAACCGCATAGGAAAGGAATTCCGACGGCCAATTCCGACTGCCAATAGTTCTAGCGATTTTTCGGCAACGAAATAGTAGGTAAATTAGAGCTTAACTTATAACTTTGCAATATAACAAGTAACATTAGAAGAGTGATGAAACTATACTCTGCTAATTTAAAACAAAAAAAAAATTATTGTTTGTTTGTGAGTTTGTCTACCTGCCATGTCCTAATCATTATACCAGTAAGGGTGTTAAAAATGTAGCTATTGGAGATATGAATTCCCTCAACATTGTCTTCAACGCCATTTTTTCAAAGGCTTCCAATGCTACACATGAATTAAAACAATAATGTTATGTATTTTTCTCTTAAGCCATGCAGGAGCCTAAAATACCTACATTGAACAAATTTTTTTATGACGAAACTTATACCACGACCAGGCCCGCAAGTAATATGGCTCACATTAATATCATAGCTACGTAGCCCGATTGCGATGCACTCATCTCCTGAAGATGAGTGAACTTTCATTTTTATATGGTAATTAAACATTCAAAATATGGAGGCATGGATGTACAATCAACAATGTAAATGTAAGAAAATTGTATAAGGAGTGCACCTTGATGCAAATACATGATATATTTTTGAATTAATAGCTCATGATGTTATCATTTCTTTTGTGTGAATTAAATGAAAATATTGAAGTGGCATACCTACTCCAATTGTGGAGTATGAGATGGTGCCATGCTGGGAATCAGAGATAAGAATTCCATCAGTATTTGGCGAGTCCTCAGGAGAGGTGATTTTGAGACCACTCAGCATTGCATAATCGCTTTTATACACCACTAAATGCTTTCCAGGGCTGTCCTTTAGGTTAAGATTCTTCACTCTAAGATAATCACATCCCATAAACTCCATTATCTGATGTTATTATAAGAATTTTTTGCATTCAAAAGAGGCCAAAGTAAACGAATTCTGTTAAAAATAAATCAATAGATGACAATCAAGCACACTGGAAATAGTGATATATTCATACTTACATATGGTGCATCCCTGAATTGTTATCGATAGAAAGCATGAGAAGAAAATAGAAATCAGTTAAGCAAAGATTTGAAGGCTAATTACAAATAATTAATTGCATAATTAATATCATAAATGAATTTGCTAATAATAGCTAGCTCAGCTTACATTTTTGGACAAGCAATCCCACCATATGAAGTCTTTGCCGTCTATTAAACTATTACCAAGCACAGTTATTTTTGGTATGTTTTTGAATACGATCCACGTATCGATTTGATTTGTCCACAATCTGTTTGGGGCCACAAGACCTCCACTGATCTGCTTGTCAATTCAAATTTCGATTGATTTAGATATAATGACTGTCTTTCTCAAGATAATATTTACCCAAATAATTAAATTATTAAAAGTGACATAATTACCAAAAACTTCAAGCTGGAACTACAGGGCCCTTCAAATATTACTTTGCTTAGCAAATAGTTCTTTCCTCCATTGCCTATCACAACAAAATATGGATTTCTAGGATCTGCATAGGCAGCTTTCCACGCATTCAAAAAAGCCTTTATTGAGAACAAACTAATTTGTTAGAAAAATATTTGCATGTTTTATTAAAAAAGTTAAAAAAAAAAAAGAAACTTAAGAAGAAGAAGAATGCATAAATTTAAAGAAACAATTTACAAAATTTACCTTAGTGTCATCTGTCTTGCCATCTCCTCTTGCTCCATATGCCATCACATTATAAATTGGGGAAGCTCCAGCAATAACCACAACCATCAAATATAAAAGTATGATTCATACAAATTCCTACATAAATAATTTAAAAATAATTAATCTACAATGCAAATAGAATGTCATTTCTAACATTTCAAGGAAGATAATAGCAACAAAAAAAGGTAATGAAAATACCAATTTTTTCAAGGTGGTAAAACTCAACATTGTGTTGATTTTGAATGTGAAAGAGGAGCACTATAAATTAGAACCAAAACCTATATTATATTCTAAAAATTCTTTTCAGGTGACTGTTTTGTCATCAAGAAACTCTTAAAAAAGAAGAAAAGTTATAGAAAGGGAAGATAGATAGATGTCTAACCATTGTTTTCACTTGTATATATCAACATCAAGATAGTAGAACCTTGGATTCTCTGGCACCTCCATCAACCTCCTGTTGCAACCTACACAATTATCAAAATATAGAAAGACATCTCTCTATCTCCCCCATTTTTTCTTTAAGGACACGAATAATAATCAGAGCAGTATTTTTCTTTAAAGACAATCCATTTGGCGCAACAAAGAGGACTAAAATACCTAAAAGATGATTAAATCTTAGAAAATGCTTCTGAATGCACAAGGCTTTAGGCATGTTAGACTCTCAGAGGTATTACTGAAGAGAGGGCAAATCTAGCGGTTTATATTTTTTGGTGCAATGGCGTCACTTTATTTCTCTCAAAACAAATGAATTAAGACTTCTCTAATTCTTAAATAGATAGTAAAATTAGTTGTTTTCATAGATAATATCACTGTTTTAAAAACCGGACTGGACCGGCTGGTTCAACCGTGAACCGGTCTTACGGCCGGTTCGGTCTTCCCTAAGAACCGGTTTAACAACGAACCGGCCAAAACCGGTTTGAAACGCCGGTTGAACTGGTCCGTTTTTTAAGAACCAACCGGTTCAACTAATAATATATTTAAATATTTTATTTTTATATAAAATGTTTAATTAAATTATAAATTAGTTTAAATATCATATATTTTATTTAAAAATATGATTCAAAAATTTTATAATAATATATATTAAATTTAATATAAATAATCTAGCTCACATGATGCCATAATACCATGAAAGCTCTTAAGCCATGGGTACAAGGAAAGGTATATAAACAACACAACTTAAAACTCCTAAGTGATGTGGGACTAAACAACTAGTTGTTTTTTGTTTCAACATTCAACAATGCATGCATTAGACTTGTTTGAATGAGAATTTGTTGGAATTTTTTTTTTAGAATATTCAAATAAAAAATAATCTTAGAATTATAAAATTTTAATGAATAAATTGTTATTATTATTATGTTAATTTTATTACTTTTAATTATATTATTATTTATTACGTCATCCGGTTCGACCGGTCGAACCATGACCTCTCATTCTTCCGGTTCGATATCCGGTCCGATTTTCATAACCTTGGATAATATATATAATTATAGATTGTAAAATAAATATTTTTATTTACCTCACAATATGAATTACAACTTCTCTTCAACTTTTATTATAGATAGATATTAACATAATTTTTTTATTTATATATAACATAGATATTGATAAATTATGAAAATTGGTATATGAATAGTTACCAAATTTCAAAAGATGTGGGTTACGTACTAAATTAAAAGGCAGATATTTTATATTAGGAGAATCAAAAACTCTTGTTGAAATTCTCTTGTAAGTATATTCCGAAAGATTCTCTTGTATAATTGTAATACTACAAATGGAAGGAACAAATAATTATTTAATTATTGCATAAGAAAATAAATTTTAAAGAGTGAAGCTGATCATATGCTAAGGTCAATATAAACAACATGAGATACCACTAAAATTATTTTGCTTATTTGCGAGTAAATAAACTATATAGCTCATTATTTTCTCACATATCTACAAATTTAACATATAAGTTTAAATTATTATTAAGAAAGTTTAAAATGTTATTGAACTACAAGTACAACAACATCAAACCTTTATCCCACTACATGGGGTCGGCTACATGAATCCTTTTTCTCCATTGTGTCCAATTAAAAGTCAAATTCTCGTTTAAACCTAATAAAGAAAGGTCATTCCTAATATTTTCTAACCAAGTCTTTTTAGGTCTACCCCTACCTTTCTTAACATAAGTCAAATCTAATACCTCTACTCTCCTAACCGGGTCATCGAAAGGCTGCCGTTTTATATGACCAAACCATCTAAGTTAAAATGTTATTGAACTAATATGTAAAATATTAAAACATCAAATGTTCATCTAATCTGGTATGGATGGAATTCAATGCACTAATAGATTTTTTAGAAACTAAAAATGTTTTAAACCTGCTCTAAATGACATAAAGATTGACGATTAACCTGCATGAAGAGATATGAACCAGCATTAAAATTTTTTGGAAGGAAAATATGCAAATCTGAGAGCCATTTTCGGTGTTTCAGCTTGGTTTTTTGAATTTATTGGGCGTAAAGATGGAATCAAAAGAGTAACTTGGATCGAGTAATTGATATAAAATGAAGAACTTTATTTGGATGACAGAAGCGGGAGCGGAAGAGTTTTATTTTGGGATTTGAATGAATGATTAATGAATGAGAAAGAAATTAAGCGGATAATTGACGCCATTTCATGTAATAGATGACAAATATTTAATTTGATATTGCGGATTTGAATTTTATTTTGAAAGAAAAAATCTTTTTTTATAATAATATATAAATATAAAGATTATCCATATCTATACTAATATATTCTATAAAATTGTGAATTATTTTTCAAATAAAATCTAAGATCTATAACTATATAATAGGGAAAATCATAATCGGAAAAATATTATATTTCCATTTTGTTTATTCCCTTACTTCTTGCATAACATTTTGCGTAACTAGCAAACAAAAACTAGTAGAATAAAAGTACAAGCATCTTAATGAGCAAATTTTAAAAACATAAAATTTCGAAAAAAAAAATATATGGATTAGAAGAAAGCGGGAGGCGGGGTATTAATAATGTCGCTGCATTGGTCTTTTCCACTATCTTCTATCAACATCACTGTATTAATTAGAGAAAAAGGTGAAAATAGGAAGACAATGCCAACACGAACGAATAAGAAGATGAAGAAGAGAAAAAGGCTACATGCTTGCGAGTGCGGACGAGGACGAAGGAGCACATTGGAAAGGACGACGTCTCAGAGGAGATGAGGCGGCAGGATGACGCGATTCCTCCGTTTGTTTCGTCAAATAAGGGTAGGATTTATCAATTGCCGAGATTTAATGCGCATGAAAAGCAGAGAGGCAGGATTTCTATTTGGGAAGAACAAAAATTAATATGATTTAATCTATAATTAATGACTCATAAATATACTTAATTAGATTTTAATAATAATTTTAGTAGGGCTGCTGCCCTCGAGTAATTATTCTGTGGCTCTGTGCGGACCCCGAACTCTAAGTCCAATGAAAATGCGTCACGTAACTCAGTACCGAGGCTCAATACTAGGTATTGAGTGATGTGGCGCATTTTCATTGGACTCTGGAGTCTGGTGTCCGAATATAATAATTTTTTCGTGCTTTCAGAGTGACTTGAGCTCGGCTCGACTTGTTTACATACTCAATCTATACTATGAATGCTACTATTATAAAAAGAACTGTGATATCCTCTAAATAAAATCTTAGCTTTTTCATTTTAATTATTTAAATTAAATATCAATCTTTCATTTCAATTATTATAATTATAATTCTTCTATTAATGTCAAATATAATCTATTAATTACTGAATTAATGTAATAGATGTATTGATTAATCGACATCTGTGACTCTTATTCCTTTCCTCTCTTCGACATCTTCAGACCTCTTCACCTTAATTTTTTTAATAGCTTGTTATTGAAGTATTGAATATCATGATTATGCAATTTTTGTATTTTTGTTTATTGGAAATGACTTCTTAAATCACTTATTCAAATCGATGTGATTCTGACAAAAATTATTATGAATCATGCACGCCAGGTAAACATCTTACCGCACTTCAAAAAATTTATGTTAAATAGAAGAAAATTTTATAAGGAAGTTAAGATAAATTTTGAATTTTGTCTTTACAAATAATTATTATTATCATAATTTTATTTATCTCTAAAAATTGTTAGACTTACTAATAGATTATTATGAACCAATTTTAACTAAAATTAATATCCACAAATAGATGTTATCTACCTTGACTGTTTTCCTATGTTTAATAATGAAATTGAATATTTTTTAAAATTTTAATGTTACTTTAAACTTGAATAAATTTTGTTTATAAAAAATTTAAGAGTTATTTGCATTTTTTAAGATAAATATATCAAATTTTTTTACTAATTACATGTTATTTTTTAAAGAATATAAAGTTTGGTTGTAGCTAACAACGTTTATGAGTTTACTAGGGGCTCTCACGAGGGACAAGATCATATTTTTTGGACTGATATGACTTACAAAGAAGAGCTTGAGAAAAAGATAAAGAAGAATCAATACACATGATTTTGAGGAGAATGTGGGGCTGAATCTTAGAAAGACCAAGCTCTATAGAGAGGATAGAGAGCAACGATTTTTTATAAAATTAATAATGAAGAAGTATTATGTTTGCTTGAGAGTATAAATAGAAGGTTTGTCAATATTTTGATGGCCTAGAATTGCACACTGAGATTTTTTATTCTATGAAAAAAAGACTATAAAATATGTTATGATTTGCAAATCAAAGAGATGAATAATGAACGTGGATGTATACTGACACATTATAAATTTCATATTACTAAAAAACATAATTTTTTATGAATAATTAATACACAAAAATCATTTATTATTTAACACTTGCATTATATGCGATGGGAGACTGAGGACAACCCGGATGAAGTGTGATGGGTGATAAAGCGCAGGCAGTCGAGCGATAGATATCGGACGAGTGCTAGCGAAAGAGCGAGAGCAAGACAAGCAGGCGAGTGTAACACTAGATGGGGACAAGCGGGTGACTACAATCCACAACAAAATAGGTTTGTTTTAGGGTTGCTTTCGGGTTTACGAGTTGATCCAAATCCAACCAAAA